AATTGTGCAGAATTACAACTGAATTATTCAGTTATATTCATTATTTATAATCACATTGTAATTCATAAATCAGACCTCCATTAAATTAAATTACATTAAGTACGAATTACAATGTAATTGAATTAAACTTACCAATTAAAAGCTAATAAATTAATAAGTATTGGGTTGTCCGGAATGTTCGTGCCGATTTTTTAGGAAAATTAAAACGCAGCTCATTTAAATATTGGAGTCAAGCTTCACAGTATGATCGTGGATGGTTGATTTTGATTTATTTAGCATTCCTGCTAATTGACGTAATGTTGAGCGTGGGTTATTCTCGATTTCTGTTCTAATCATATCTTCGTCTGTGGTGGACGGCCTACCTGGGCGTTTTCGATCTTCAAGATCAAAATTTCCAGCTTTAAATCAAGCAAGCCACTTCCACACAGTACTTTCGGCTACAGCATCCTCGCCATAAACAGCGCATATCTTCTTTGCCGCTTGTGTGGCATTTTTGCCCTTTCGGAAAAAGAAAAGCATTATATGCCTATAATGCACTTTGTTTGCCACCATATTCTAAGGCGTACGAAACTGATAAAAATTAACGAATCGTAATCAAGCTTTTTTCCAAATATGACTGAAGTTATCTCTTTTAGAATATGTACACATGTCATTTGTTTTCAATAATTGTGATATATTCAGTCAGGTCTCTCACGCTACCTACCGAGAATCGGCACGAACTTTCCTGACAACCCAATAATAAGAGAAATAGGTAAGACTGTAATTTGCATAATTGTATTTCAATTATATATATCATATTTGAATTATACTCGTCATTAAAATAATTAGCGAGGTTTGAATCATGTAATTAAATTACAGCGTAGTTGAATTATTATGCAATGGAAATACAATGTAATAAAATTACGAAATTAAATTACAATGTAATTGACTTTGCACAGCTCTGCTTGTGCCGAGTCTGCTTAACTTGGACCATCAATTAGATCCAATGATAACTAGTGAACAGAAACGATGATCATTCAACTGTTTCACTGTTGTGATATTCCTCGATGTTCACAAGGGAGGTGTAATGCGTACTTTAGCTAGAATGAATTGTTTTAAAAAAATGAATCGACATCGGACTACTCAACCTATAATTGAGCCGTTTATTTTGAAAGTGGCATAAGTCACTTTTTCAAAAAAATCGAGTTAATGGTAACACTAATTACAATTGAACGGTATCTTTTCATTTTTAAAAAATTTACAATCAATAAGTTGAGAACTATTGAGATTTGTTCGAGAGAAGTTTTGCTAATTAACGGTATAACAAACATGTTTACTTTGAAAGTGGTGTAAGTCCCTGTACTCAGGAAATTAATTAATTAATTAAGTGTGTGTGAAGTATTGGTTTGAATTATTTCCAGTATTTTTAAAAATGTTGTGATCACTGGACTTATTCTTATAAGTGCGAAAAAATAGTATATAATTTTAAAATAACTAGTATCACGACAATTTTCGTTCTCCATGTTTTATCCAATAGGATAACTTTTTTTTAAATAAATGGCGTATACTATGTATTATTCTAAAGAACACGTATTATCTAATGTATATAAATAAAATTATTGTATTTCATATAAATTCAACGGAAGCAGTAATTTAACAAATTCATTATGTAACTATAATTACTTAATCAAAACCCGAAAAACAGTTCTGTAATTATGTTCGTTAGTACCTTGCCGAAGGCTCGCTCAAAATTATATTCCAATGTCTTCGGTCTGATGCAATTACGTGTNTTTCATATAAATTCAACGGAAGCAGTAATTTAACAAATTCATTATGTAACTATAATTACAAGTACAAAAAAGAAATGAACAAGGAAACTTTCTTTCTATTTAATAAATTATGCTATATTTATATTCTCTTTTTGTTTTTGTTTTTTTTAGTGTATAATTTTGTATTTTATGAATATTAAAATAAAAAATACTTAAATCAAACCTTTATATTAAATATGTTCATGGTATAAATTATTATTATATATGTAATTTATTCAACAATTTTAGTAAATCACTGTCCTTTCAAAACATCGCTTCAGTAAAATACGTCGGACAAAATTAATATATGTCAGTCATTTTTCTAAACTATTTATTTTGAAAGTGGCTTAAGTCACTTTACCGTAATGAAAAGTGGTGATTTTTTAATGTTTATACGAAATTATTTATACTGAGAAAAATATCAGTATCCTGAGATAACAAATACAAGTAAATCTTCTCGAAAGTTAGCATCCATATTTTTAAGCGTGTTAAAACGCACACCCTTAAATATCTTGGCTTAAAAACGAAGTGATTTATGCCACTTTCAAAATAAACGGCTCAATTATAACCGGACAAGAGATATCGAATGGTATGAAATGACCCGAAAGCGACGAGGTAGGAAAGGTTACGTCTAAGACACGTCGCGCGCGCTAGGGGTAATCACCCCCAAATCCTTCCGAGCAACTGTACTAACTCCCTCCTTCGCCCTTCGGTAAGAGCGAATAACCAATCACGTGAAGGGTACGGATCGCATGGATCCTTTAAAATGACGGCAGGTAAATTTTTCAGCTATTTACATTTTCGCAACTAGACAGTGTACAAGTGTCAAAAACGGGAATCTACATCGATCCATCGATCACGCTTTTTTTTCGGTAGTATCGCGCAGTGAATAATTAGTAAGACGAAGTGTCAACACGAGTGTACCGCAACACATCAAAAGCGAGAGGAGCACCCGCCAGAGGAAAGTCGCTAACGTAAGTATTAAAAAGATAGTAGAATTGAAGCAAGGCGGTATTTCATCATAATACGACATTTGCACGCGCATTACTTGATCTCTCATCATAATCGTAGAAATTTGTTAGTTATTTTACGGAGCAATATTCTGGACTAGAGTGCGTGGGCTGCTATAACTAGTCAACGATCCAACAGTAAGTCTATCATGGAATCAATAATTGTTCGTGAGAAAGAAGTTAAACGATTTCAACTAGACTAGTTTTACTTTCATTTACGTGATAATAAAGAAGAAAATAGGAGTGTAGTTCAATCATCTGGTATACTTGATTATTTGGCGCGCTATCGGAATTCTACTGTATGTGAATTTATTTTATCAGGTTTTAGTTGCTAAACAATATTTTGTGAGAGAGAGTTGCTACAGATTCTTGCCAAATTGGTTATAGAATTAATGCGTGTATGGAAAATCCTACAACTATATCGTATAAAAAAATTTATTTCTTGCTTACCATAAAGGGTACAAATTGTTTTTGTCACATTTTCTAGAGGTGATTTTTGTTTTTACAGAACTAACCATTTAGAGCAGGGGTGTCAAACTCAAAAGCTAACTTGGGCCAAATAAACAATGCTTAACTTTAGATGGGCCGCAAAAAATAATCAATGTTCATAGAAACAAATATTTTTATTTTGACTAGTACATTGTAATAAACATATATAAAGTTAAATTATTGTTTACGTCCTGATACTTGACATCAAAAATGTTCATCTCGGGCCGCGAGTTTGACACCCCTGATTTAGAGAATACGGGTATGAAACGGGCTTGAAATCTGTCAATTTAAGGGTTGGGAAGTATTTTGAAGGTACAGAAATGTTCAGCGGAATTTTCTGCATTCGTTTCTTGTAAGACAATTACAAATAAATAATTTTTACATGAACATGGATCTATCGATGTCCATGGACGCGTTCGCGGTCATTGTACCATTTGCGGTGCAATATACAATATCGCCAGTTGCGTCCGAGTCCTCTTCAAGGATGACCTCTTCACAGATCCTTCATCGTCGCTTTTACATATCTACACCGAATCTTCTTCACCGGAAGACGCGCTCTCCATTTCCGACCGGGAACCACATCTGCTGGTTGGAGTTTCGTCAGTTATCGCGCGTTCGCCATCTTGATTCTTGGATTTCTGTTCTTCTTTTTTCTTCAAATTTTCGTCAGGATCTTTCCTTTTCTGTATTTCCGGAATATTTTCTTAAACTCCTAACTTAACAGATTTCAAGTTATTTTCCATATTCATATTCTCTTCATAACTAGTCCTGCAAGAATCATCTGTAAGAAATGTGCTGTGGTATCATTTATGCTCTTTAATGTAAACAAGAAATATACTTTTACGGCTGATACTGATGCATAAACGTCTGTTTTATGCGTCAGTAGCCTTTAACGTTTCAGTACCCTGATGATATTGGCTACACTCCGAAATAGGCAGAGTTTACGCATTTCCACGCACGCCGGATAATCGTAATTCCATTGCATGTTGCATCGGTTAACGTCAACCGCGATAGATAAATCTTTGTTAATTATGTGCGAGATTATCTAAATTTTAACAACATTTACGTAATGATAATTTCGACTGACCGTCGGTGGAATGCAATTGCTTTAGACACGATTATCTCGCGAAAAATTTCAGTGAAATTCATCAATTGTATTTCATTAGGCATCGAAGGTGCAATTATACGTAGTGCACGCGCTTCGAGACCTGCGTTCGGTACCGTGAATGCGTATAATATCAGCATTTTCGCGTAATAAACTCTGTTGCAACACCGGTCGCGCGTACCGAAAGATAAAAGGGCATATTCGAGCCAAAATCGTTTGTCTTTTGCAGATACGACACGTCGTTCCAGCATCAAACAAACGGAGCTCTTCAACATCCGGCAGACCAAAACAAAAGGAAACGCTATTTCAGCACTGTTGAACAAAAATCGACCGATAGAGAACTGAAATCCAAGAAACAATACGAAAGAATGGCATCGTTAGATTTTATGTACATGATAAGCGAAAGCAGTATCAGATACATTATGCGTTCGCTGCATCGGTTGAGCTTCCGCATACTCGGAACAAATACTGTGATCGATAGTACAAGTACTACGATCGCTGTTCAAAAAATTGATGAAAATTTTAACATCGATGCAGAACGTGATCTCCAACTGGGAACGCAAAGTGCGCCGGCCCCTGAAGTGTACATGGACGTATGTGTACGCACCGAAAATAATATAACGATCGTGAATGAGTCCATGGATATCGATAGATCCATGCCGTTTCCTACTTCAGAAGAACCTATGGAGTTATCGACACCGGAATGCAGCTATGAAGAATCACATATGACAATGGAAACATCGTTGGGAGATAAAAACTTGTACATTGATGAGGAAGAAAGCAATCCATCGCTGGATGAAGAGAAGATGGAGATATGCCAGAATCAGTGCGATTCGTCCGATGACGACTATTCGTTCATCTACGATGACCTCATTGATTACAAAAGGGAAAATATGTTGCGCGAACAGGATAAGTTTAACAGGAAGGAGGGTGGCTCAAGCAAAGATCTATTTTCTGATGACGACGTCAAAATGGTCCCAGTGGATACTAAGCCCAAGATACGATCTTGCTGCGAGCAAGCGGCCTATATGTCGCATCCAAATCATTATCAGGTACGTTCTCCTCTCATTTTTCATTCGACTACATTACAGACAGATAACGCTAATGAATGTTGTTTCTTCTTCTTTAAAGAACAAGGAAGAAGAACAGGAATCAATTTGCATGGCTGACAACGAATATTCGAGCGATGACTCCGCTAGCACAGATTTTGTAATATATCCGTTGAACAAGATTGTAAATGTCTTCCTGGATAGGCGGTCTCCGTCAGGTTTCCCGGTGCTATCACAAAATCCACCATTATGGAAACAAATACATACCGATAAGTACGTACAGAAGACGTCGATCATACCGCCGGCCCCGTCGCCTATGAGACATTTGTACTACGATTATCCCGAGTTTATGGAGAACCCGAAGATTGATACGCTTTTAACAGTGTTAGATTTTACGAATGTTAACCATCTTTAAAATATTGATCTACATAATATCTGTACACATTTTTACATACGAAATAATAAAATGAATTTTATTAATCATTGTGTTTTTGTTTCCCTATCGATTGATATATTCATTAAAAATATAAACAACGTACGAAGCATCGGCTTTTCAAAATGATTTATGACGTTGGCATAAACGACAGGTTCATCGGTGATAATTGATTTCCTGGAGTAGTGTCTGCTCGTTCTCCTTGCTCTATGACGGGATCCGTTTCGTTCATGTCCTCTATCTAATGAACAAACGTGAAGTTAGAATTTGATTGCAATGTTCTTTTTACGGTGACTCAAAGAATTCTGTAATTACCACCATCGACGTCTCTTCGACTTTTACTCTTTTCTGAGCGATCGTCCTGAGCAATGCTTTAGCTTCTTCTTTCGTTTCATCGAACTGCAGACATTTCTGGGCATAATAATTGGCTAGATACAACTCTTCGCGATTTAGATGATACTGTGTTAAATATTTATATGCATGACTCAAGTCGGTTCTATCCGCGTTGCTGCTCTCTTCTCTGACAAAGTCGGTGTAAGCGGCTGCTGCGCTGATGTGTACACCCAACTTTTCGTACAATCTACGGAAGATAGAATTAAAACTTATTCTTGGCTTCACATATTCAATCGCTTCACATACGTAGCCAATTTCAACAATGCCACTCCTTCGATGTCACCAATGCTCCACGCTTTGTAATAACACTTCAACGAGTCTTGTATTTTGTCTTGTTTCTCGTACGCCTCTCCTAAAGCCAACACCATCCTACTGTCGTACGGTCTCAACAGCTGGGCTTGTTTGTAATAGTAGATCGCATAAAATGGCATTTTCAAAATTTCATACGTTTGTCCTAAACCATACCATGCCCTGTAATCCCGTCTATTTACCTCTGCAGACAGAAATGAAATGTAACATAAATCCTCGCATCTAGTTTCGCAACTACACTCGATACATACCAATAGCCTGTCGATAGCTGTGAATGGCGCCGTTAGTATTTTTCATTTCCATAAATTCATGGCCTAGCAATGTCCAAGCAGAAAGATACCGCGGATTCATTTTCAATGCCCTGTGGAAATACAGGACTGCCTTTTGATGATCACCTCTTAAACTATAGTAATTGCCTAAAGAATATCCATTCTACCATATAATGATACACTTTTGATCTCTGTGCGCAATTAATTAGCAGACTTACCTACTATGCAACATGTTTCTAACCTATATTTGTCTATTTCTGTTGCTCTATGTGCCAAATTTGCCAGCTCGACTCTCATTTCCCTTACATATAGTAAATTGGAGTACGTATCCATATTATCCAGACAGTACGGATCCTCCTTTATTATTCTTTTAAATGTTTCTATAGCATTATCAGCATCTAAAAAAAAGATCATCTATTAGTATATACAAATGTTCAAAGCAATACTACATTTTCAGCCTTATAAGTAGGAATAACTTGCCTCTCCTGTAATGAATCGCCATCGCGGTCTGAGCACGTATGTAACCACTTTTTTGAAATCCCATCGATTGCAGTTCATAGAATAAAGCTATACCTTCGTCTGTCAGTTGCAGTTCTATATGCATATGAGCAATAAAAAAATGTTTCATCCAATGATTTGGTAGGCACAAGTTCTCGAGTTTTTCTTTATCTGTTATCAGAGAAACTAATTCTAGCCAAGATCCCCAGTGCATAGGTTGCTTGTGGATTGCTTCAACCAGTACATCCATGGCTTCTCTAGCCAAGTGTAGCTTCTTTAAAGTTACCCCAAAAAGATACAATTCAAATCCATCCAGTTTATCGGCTATATGATCTTTTCTCAAATCGGAGCATAATAATTTTAAGCTATCATTTTTGACAGGGTTAGGAGGCAATACTGGCGCTTCGTGTATCTTCTTGGTTTCTCCCGATAAATACCGAGAGTATATGTGTAGAAATCTAACCTTTGGTGTTTTACAGTTCTCTGTAAAATATGCAGCTCTATCGTATTCTTTTGAATCAAAGTAACATTTTGCTAAAATGTATGTATCTTCTTCTTCGCATACATCTGCCAAGTACAAATCGGCAGTAATATCGTGAACGTTCAACTTGACGTCTTTCAAAGAATAACTTAATTCCGCCAACCTGTTGAGAAAACACATTTTTTCATTGTTCATCTTAAAATAGTGATGATCTTTCGTTTTCTTTTCTTAAATTTTACCTACCATTTTGCGGAATGCAACAATCCTCGTTGTGAACATTCTTTTATTGCGCGCATAATGTCAGTCCTAACCTCTTTTATATCGAACTTTATAGATTCATCCATCTCATGTAAAAGAATTTCATCGATTCTTCATTTGGTTTCTCCGAATTCCTGCGGCCAGCTAAATTACAATCCCACGCATTTCAGCGAAATAATTGATTCTTTTGCGATTTAAATGTTCACCGAATTTAAAAGTGTCATATGTACACAAACATATTTTATCGCCATCTACTACAGACGAAGTATAATCGGAGGTAGACTAGTGTAGACCGAACACGTTCTAAAATACCGACGATGCTCAAAACCAGTATGTAGTTTCAAAAATCATGAAAAAAATTTTGTAATTAAAAAAAATTAAAGAAAAATTTGTAATTTTTCAAAAATTTGAAATGTAATACACAGAGTGTGATCAGTTTTTCTGAAGAATCAGTTGGCTAAAATTGTTGTTAAAATTTTGTTTATTTATTATTTATTTTTATGATTGTAGTATAAACAATTACAGTTTTCAAGTTACAGCATCTATATGAATTAACTGCTTACAATTGCGTAATGCAAATATTAAAAGTTCAAAATTTCAACGAGAAATTTTTTTAAGTTCATGGATCTATTATGATAAATAAATAAATAAATGTAAACTAGTTTCTTCCTTTCAGCAACTATAGACTGTCAGACCGTCGGATCGATCGGATTGTCGTTATTAATACTCGTATATGGTTGAGTCTTCAATATATAAATTAATAGAATTTTCCGATTTATATATTTATATATTTAATTGTTGTTGAGTGTAGTGAATGAGTATATTAAATACAACATTTATTTGTGACATTTGTTCGTAATGAATAAAGTTCTATTCTTGAATTTGTGGCTTGAAAAAGATGAGCCTATAAAATGCATTATAAAAATTAAGCCCGCAGGTGAATTTTCAAGCAGCCAAGTGAGGCTACACCCTTCTCTCCTAATTTTAATCGACTTTGAATAACTAAACTTGAAATATCTTCTAAATATGAGCCGTTTATTTTGAAAGTGGCATAAGACACTTTTTCAAAAAGATAGAGTTAATGGTAACACTAATTACAATTGAACGGTATCTTTTCATTTTTTTTAAATTTGCAATCAATAAGTTGAGAACTATTAAGATTTGTTCGAGAGAAGTTTTGCTAATTAACGGTATAACAAACATGTTTATTTTGAAAGTGGCGTAAGTCGCTGTACTCAGGAAATTAATTGCGGGGCTTAGTGTAAAAGAAATAGAAACGTGTGATAAGTGTGTGTGAAGTATTGTTTTGAATTATTTTCAGTATTTTTAAAAAAGTTGTGATCACACTGGACTTATTTTTATAAGTACGAAAGAATAGTGATGAAAAAAAAAGAAAAAAAAGATGAATTTTTAACTTTGGATTTGTCACCAAAAAGAGGAAGACCTAGGCGTTATTCACAAATAGAAATGGTTCCGTTATACGCTGGATCTCGTCCTGTTTCTTCAGCAAAATACAAAGACATGATGGACTTGCTTAATTATATACCCCCAATATACCACAGTTATTTTAAAAATTTGAAACAAGACACGATTTCCGAGGACTTATTGATGACGAAAATTAAATTGAACTGATGTATTTTCATATAAATTACTTATACTTATGTTTGAAAATGTACTAATTATTTTTGTATTTTATGAATATTAAAATAAAAAATACTTAAATCAAACCTTTATATTAAATATGTTCATGGTATACATTATTGTTATTATATATGTAATTTATTCAACAATTTTAGTAAATCACTGTCCTTTCAAAACATCACTTCAGTAAAATACGTCGGACAAAATTAATATATGTCAGTCATTTTTCTAAACTATTTATTTTGAAAGTGGCTTAAGTCACTTTACCGTAATGAAAAGTGGTGATTTTGTAATGTTTATACGAAATTATTTATACTGAGAAAAATATC